ATTTGAAATCAGAACTTTTTATTTATGATGTTCGAGGGATTTTCCCCATTGTTTTGGCAGTAAACAGAAATGACCAGTGTTCAGAAATGAAACACACCAACAAGCTCATACTTACGTCTTCATAGATGTATTCTGGTGATTGATTCAGATTATCCTACGAAGCATTTACTGGTAAAAAAAGTTCTGAAAAATGTCTCTTTGGCAGGTACAAACACAGCACTCTGCTTTTTCCTATCAATAAGCAAATTGTCCTTCAGTGGCACCTTTGATTTTGGTACTGCTTGCAGTTTTACATTTTGACCTGTTAGATTTAGCCAGCTCTTTGATGTCAGGCAGCTTACCGACTTCTTCCCTGCTGTCATCCCCCACTGCAGCCTCAAGAAATCATAGACTGACAAACTGATGTCTGCTGTTCCCTAATGACTTGTTTGTAGCAGCTCCGTCACCAACTAAAAGCAAAAAAAAAGAAAAAGCAGCACTGTTCATTGTCTTTGTCAGCCACATGGACAGTGGGATTGATGCATCCTCAGCAAGTTTGCTGATGACACCAAGCTGTGTGGTGCAGTCGACATGCTGGAGGGAAGCAATGCCATCCAGAGGGACCTGGATAGGCTTGAGAGGTGGCCAGTGCCAAACTTAGGAAGTTCAACAAGACCAAGTGCAAGGTCCTGCACCTGGGTTGTCTGAGAGAGATGGGCTTGCTTCTTCAGCCTGGAGAAGAGGACAGCCCAGGGAGACATTAGAGCAGCTTCCAGTATCTAAAGGGGGCCTAAAAAAAGCTGGAGAGGGACTTCTTACAAGGGCATGCAGTGACAGGACAAGGGGGAATGGCCGCAAACTGAAAGAGGGTGAATCTAGATTAGACATTAGGAAGAAATTCTTTATTGTGAGAATGATGAAGCACTGGCACAGGTTGCCCAGAGGAGCCGTGAATGCCCCATCCCCAGCCAGTGTTCAAGGCCAGGTTGGACGAGGCTTTGAGCGACCTGGTCTAGTGGAAGGTATCTTTGCCTGTGCCAGAGGGGTTGGAACTGGATAATCTTTAATATCCCTTCCAACCCAAACCATTCTGTGATTCTATGAAACAGCCACTAAATGAGTCAGTGTTGTACAGACTGTAAAGAGAAAATTACAGAGGATCCTGTTACCCATCTAGCATTGTCTAGAGCTTAGGAAACCAAAATCGTAATAGCTTATAGCTATGTACCTACACCATCTGCCTGACTGTAGTACATAAAGTAGCAAAATTTAACACAGTGTCTAGCCATCCATTATCCCTGCTTGCCTTCCTGTTGCAAGAACATAGGCAATAATGCAACTGTTTTATAATAAATTACATTTTAAAAGAAATTATAATATCATCACATCACATCATTTAATTACAGATAGATGTAATTTTTTTGTTTGTCTTAATCTTCTAACTTTCAGGTAATGAAAAGCTTTCAGTAACAGACTGAAATCTCATAAGCTCCATTTGCACATAAGAGCACTGATTTTGGATGACTGGTCATTTCACTGACAAACAGAGATGTTTTTAATGGAACCTTGTTTCCAGTAAGAACTGAACACCATATTTCAGATGGTTTAGGTTATGCGCTCTAAAATGGCCTTATGCCAAATTCATTAATCACTTTTGGAAATTAAAGATTCTGTATCTAGTAACAAAAAGCAGCAAAAAAATAAATTCCTTCACTACTATCAGAGCAGCACCCTAATTTGGAGAAAATGAAAATCCCACTTTGGCTGGTTTTTATCCTAAAACAAAACACCACAGGAAAGAGTTTCAACTGACAGGAAAAATGAAAGTTGAAGGAAGAAAACAAACACAAAAATAATCCTCTTTCTTACATGGAGGGGTGGGAGGGGGAATTGTGTTGTAGATTTCTCACAAATTAAGTAAGTGTGGCCTCTGTTTTAGAAGAAAAATCAAAACAGTAGTAACATAAGCTTGTCTACTTTTATTGATATGGTGGTTATGTATGACACATCATCCCTTTTCAAGCACTGTGCTTCTAGGCGTTAACACCAAACATGTATTTCTGTCACTGAATATAAGGGCCAAAAAGGGTCAAAATCCCAGATTTACCCAGCAGAAGTACCATAAGCAGCAGCTTTTCTTGCTTGAAGAATTGTCATTTCAAAACTCTTAAGATTCTGCTTCACCGTGAATTTACATACAATTGCTTGTGTTGCACAGCACAAAATACCGCATTCATGTGAAAAGACACTGAAAAGCAGAGACCAGTGGGACAGCATCCTGCTTCTTTTATGCACAACATTTATATTCATAATTCCTAGCGAGTTCTACAAAGTAACTGGCAGACATAGACTTTGGGGAAAAATACCCCTCAACATTGTGTTGGTTTAATGCTACAGCACCAAAGACAGCAGCTCTATATGCCAGCACAGCAGGAAAAGAACTCAATTGCTTTTAATAGACAAGCGTTTAGTGCAACTAGCATAATCTGCAGTGACATTTTCCCATGTCTATTATGTAAGTCGAAAGCTAAACTTTTGCTTTTATACAGCATATTGCCTATCTCCAACACAGTGCCTTATCAACTTTCTCTCCATTTTTAAGATATTTTAGTAGCAAAAGAGGGGGGACTTAGCCCATTTTTGAGATTCCTTCTAGAACTCCTCTTTTCTTCTGTTCTGTGTTTATAGCCATGCAGACATCAATTCAGACAGGCTTCAATAGGAAATGTTATTTTGTTAGTTATCATGGTGCACATTCCTTGCCTAACAACCTCCCTGAAAAGTTTAACTCTCTATGGAAAATAACTTAAAAGGTAAAGAATAACCCAAGAAATTCCACAAAGAAAAACTGGGAATTAAAAAATCAAGGACAGTCAATCCATTTTACCAGTGTCATTCATTCCCTAACACCTCTTTTTCTAAATTTCAAGGAAAAGATGAAAAAGCAAGGAAATGGGGAGTTAGAGCCATCACCATTTTTACATCCCAGGCATCATACAGAGTGTGGGAATGTCTACCTTCATAGCAGCAATTATCCTTGAAAAGATTTTCAAAGTAGCATACAACAGCAGACTGGGAACTGCCCACAAAAAGGGCAAAACAGATAATGACAGACCTGCTCTGGTAAACCATCAGCGTATAACTCCAAGATATTTACATTAATAGCTCCTTCCCAGTCTTTCTGTCCATCTATCTACTGTTATTTGCCTCACTTCTGCTGGTATCTTAATCCTAACCCTTTCAAGATAGGCAGCTCCAATAGACTGGCTTGTTTCTAATGTACTTTGGTAGACAAATACAGCTCTTTAAGTGCTAACAAGTCTGCATATTTAGGATTCAGTACTCAAGGAAGCGAGTGATTAAAATCTAGTGATTTCGCAAGACGAGTTCATAAGGGCTATAAATACAGCACATAGCATCAAAAGACCTCATCAGCCAGACATCTGAGTATCAGAAGGAGATGCAAGGCTTAAAAAAAAGATCAACGCTTCAAAAACAACATACCAAATTGATTAAGCAACACTGGAAGAATGAGTCCTACAGGAGACATTTTATTGTGTATATATGCCAAACATGTTTATGATTTCTTTTAAAAGACCTATCTTGCATTACCCTGATAGTACCAGATAGCTTGTGTCACGCCTGCCTTCCCACACTGTGTATCCCACAATAAATAATGCTGCATGCATTAGACAGATGTCCCTTCCAGGAACATAACACCTCCTGAAAGGGTACTAAAAATGTCCTTACTCTGCTGCTTTCAGAGCCAGACGATGAGCAGAGACCTCTGACCTTCTCAATCTGAGGCATGAACATACAGAATATAAGCGCAGAGCTTGCTGCACTATCTTCAGGTGCAAGAGAAACCACTTGACCAGCTCTGATGACCATGATGCAGCCTGGAAATCTCCCTCTCTTGAAGAAGAACTGCACATTTGCTGAACCATGCTGCTGATGCTACCATGTGTATCTGATGGAAAGCTGCCTCTGCATGCAACCTTCTGGCAGGAGCACTGAGGTGGATGTAGCAGCCGTGGTGCTAGCTCCCTGAGCACCCTGGGGTGGTCTACATAGGCAGTACTGATGCCCAGCACTCATCTGACAAAAAGCCTTCCCGCAGACAGTGCATGAGCCTGCCTGTGAGCTCCCCAGCGACAGCACTGGAAGAGTTTGGAAAAGCATTACGTGAGGAGGACAGAAATCCATGAAACTGCTAAAACCCCCCCCCTCAGAAACCTCACAATGCTCATGCAAGGAGCAGTGACTGGAATTTCATATATAAAATATACCATCTACCCTATACCAGGCAATGCTCTCTGTCTTTCACTGAGATTTTGTACAGGGGCTGAGAAGACTGCCTATGCCCACCAGCTGAGCAGACTGCAAAACCAGCAATGGACGATGCTCTGCCCTTTGTCAGAAAACAGTTGCTGAATGGGGAAAGCAACGGGGGAAAATCAGCCTTAAGCTGTCCCAGCACAAAGGGACTTTTTTCCTCATTACAGCACAATAAAATGGGGTGGGAGAGCACTGTATTTCCATTTAGGTTTTTTTGAGTTTGCTTTCTTCTTTTATTTCTCAAGCTAGCAGGGCTGAGAACAACCTTGTATTTACCTGGCAGACCCAGCTGCGGGCAGGGCCCTCACATCACAGCAGTGCTACTAACGTTTTTCCCACTAATTATTTTTGCCCGATTTCCTATTCTCTAGATTGAAAAGCAAGGAAGAGCTCCAAACACTTAATGAGGATGCCTCTTCCTATAAAGAATTACTCAGAAAAACTGCAATTCAGAATCAGTAAAGCCTCACGTCTTTTCTACAGAGCCTTTTTGAGTCTTCTATGCAGAGGAGAGTTTTTAATCAGGCAGCAGAAAGGGAAGGGCTTTCCATCTGGTGATTTTGAAATTCTTGGTCAAAGGTTAACCTGATTTTTAACCTGATTGTACAGAAAATCTTGGAGGCTGAAAGAACACAGGTGTAAAGGCTGCCCTGAAAGTAAAACTTCGGAGGGACATTACCAACCCGAAACCAGGCAATGAAGGCACATAAGGCCTGTACTACACCTTTCCTCACTCTCGGCTTCACAGACAGATCCTAAGGAGTCAAAAGGCAAAGTCCATTTCAGTAAGTTTAAAACATAATCAGACTTCTCTGGTTGGCAGCACCAAAGGGAGAAAGGCAGTTCTACTAATTAAGATCTGAACTTCTGCTTCAACTTGAGTTTTTCATGATGTTACTGGATATAACATGGTACTCATTCATTATAGGGTGCAGCACCCGCAGGGCAGTGAGTAATGGTTTTACTCCTACTTCAGTACTGGCAGCAGCATGTTGGACTGAAAAATGAACCTCTATTTCCTATCTATTTTTATAATCAGTTTATCTATCATCTGCTTAATTCTTACCCCCATATGCACAGTAGAAACAAAACATTTAAGTCTCAGTACTACCCTGAAATACATTCACAACACTGCCATTGACTCAGCTAACCAGAGACACTGACTTGTAACCGAGGACAGCATTTGGCCCCAGACAGCACAGCTGTATTCTATATGAAAAATTCATGAGCTAAATCTTTTCACTTCTTTTATAAATAGGAGACAAAACAAGAGAGTCATCACTTAGTCAGCCAGGGAATGATTCAAAAATCTAAACCTAGGATATCGTTTTTAGGAACATAACTGGCAATAAAGGCAAAGTCTATCTTCTCCTCATAACAGAAAAAAGGTAGGATTAAGTAACTTTATTTTATGCCACTTTTTTTTTTTTTCTTTCACTGATTGAAAAAGTATAAAATACCAACCAGACATAGCAGTAAGGTATCAGACACAAAATAGAGATCGCTAGTATTACATGCCCAGGTATATTTTGTTGCAGCCCTGAAGTCAGACATGTTATTGAGCTCTGGCTTATTTGGAAGCTTTCCTGTTTCTCTAAACACAACCATTATTTTTGGTATTTCATAACTAGCTCTCTATTATGAGGTGATACTAGCTGTGGAGGTGACAGCTGGCAGGAACTTTTGAATCGAAGGGTCTCTTTCTCTCACAAGATGCACTGTTTACTAAAAGATGATTACCCATGAGTAAATAATGAGTCATGATATCCTTAAAAAAGCAAACACACAGAGTTAAAGAATAATTTCTAACATGGGTAAACAGCACAGAAAATTGAATCACTTATGTGCACTTTCCCTAATATAGTGTAAAAAACTATAAGGGCTATAGAAAATAACCACAATTAGATAAAACTATGTTATAAGAGCTTGGAAAAACTCTCTCTTTTCATATGTCTGTAAAGCATCATTTACAGACATACAAATAACTAAATGCAGTCTTAAATACATGCAGGAACAAACGGAAGAGGGATTTTGGGTTGGCTTTCACAACACAAACGCACCATGGTAGTTCTGTCATTCCTGATGTGTTACTGCACTACCCTTATGAACAGTGCAGACCATTGAAACACAATGTATTGGCAATCAGGCAGGAAACCAGGACTGCACATCATCTAACACTGTAATTATAACATGCAGGTAAACTGCTCATTTTTACTGCATGTTCTCAGACCATTTCCCAGCACTTTGAGAATTTGCTGCTGGGGAATTCATCGTCAGACAATCACTGACAGTGGTGAAGTACTCTCCCCTCTATTATTGCTACTTCCATACTCATTTCTAATGCTATTATATATATTTCTGAATTCACCGTTAGGCTCCAAAAGTTCCTCTGGGGAATATGACATCAGAATGAAGATTATGAAAAATATGCTTATACCACATCCATTTGAAAAACTGTTTATGTGTAAGGACTTTGCTTACGCCACTTTGCCCCATCCATTTTGCACAGCCTCCCAGACACCAATAAAGCTCATCAGCAGTTTTACAATCAAAATTAAATGGAAACTGGTGATCCTTGCGACATCTCAGCAGCTGACAGTGGTGGCTCTGGAGTGACAGCAAGAGTTAAAAACCATAAACACGCTCTACTGTAACTGTGCCTTTTCACATAACCTTCTGAAGTGTTTATCTGTAAGGACTAAAGCAGAACAACCTGGACTGTAAAGAAAAAAAATAAAGACAATCAATCAGATTTAAGGACAATAAGGAATTATGTGAAGGCAGGAAAAAACATGTACCTAACCTGTTTTCTTTGTGAACACTGCTGAACTTGAAAAAGACCCAGACTGAAACTTGAAATGCATGTTGTACAAATTTTAGGATTAACGCTCTTTACTTGACATGTTATAATCTGAAATCAAGGAAGAGAGGATATATGTGAAAAATTCATGAGGATGAAATAGTCACATTAGATTTCTTTGGGAAGTTGGGAAGTATTACCATGGTACTCTGTTCAAAGCTGGGTATGGCCACCACAGACTGGGGAGTGCTGCCCAGCTGGGGTACCAAGCAACTAACGGAACATATACCATACCTGGTAGTTCTGACATGAAGACTAGAATTCTTTTTCCACTTTCTTCCCTGTGTAATTTTGCTAGCATATTGGTGTTGGAATGTAATCCCTCCTCTTTGTCCAATCTACAATGTCTATATAGTTATTCACAGTTCAGTTTTTTGAAGATATGTGATTTTAAATCACAAGTTTCTAAGAAGTTGTGATAACATTTTAAATAGCATGTTTTAGAGAAGAACCGGACAGCTAGTGAGATGGCCAACCACCGAACAGAGCGCACAGCTTGTCCTAAAAGGTTCTTAAATTCAGACACTTACACTTCTGAATCAGGGTCACACATAACCTGCAGTTCTACGAGGTACTCCTTTTTTGGCTGATTGATGATTGTTAGGATCACTGAAAAGGCACGGAGCAGCTTTAGCTACCACTGATCATAACAGAAAAGATGCCACTTCTCCAACAACAATCCATCAAACTTAAAACACTACTATAAAGGAAAGTAAAAAAAAGACGGGTGCAATCAAGGGTACTTCAACTAGAATAAAGACCCCTTCAGGGCACTTTAACTGCCAGTCTGCAGCCTAAAGGGAAAATGAAATAAAATCTAAAATGGCACATGGTGCTTACAAGATTACATACACCTACACCAGGCAAATATAATAGAATCCTATTTTTCCTGTGTTTTGATTTATATTATATTAATTATATTATTAATTAATTATGAGTAATTAAGAAAAAATATTACTCTAAACCCAGGAAGTTCTTCAAAGTATTTTCCCTTTTTTTCTTCTCGTGATGTAAATGGTCCGTATTCTTAATGTTGTTATACCACAGTTAAATTACATCAGAGGCATTATTTAGTGTTCAGAATCAGAACATCTGAAACTATGAAAAATAATCATATAAGAGGGGACTTCAGTAGCTGCCTATCCCTCATTCTATCAAAGTTGTATCATTCCATATTATACAGCTGCTGGTGCTTTATACACCTTAAGATTCCTATCGATCACTTCCAAGCTGATAACACAGGGAACAAACTCTTCTAATAGATCCCTCTGCTAAAATGAAAGAAAACAACCCAAACAATCCACTTTCACTTTTTTCAGTTACCTTTTCCAACTACTTTCAGCCATGTGTCACCAATATACACGTACAGCCACTCTGCAGACTTTGGTCATGTCATTTTCCTTTCGCTCTATTATTTTCCAGCTCCTCCCTGAACTCTCTGCTGTTTAATCTCTTCTGGTCAGAAAAAATAATAAGTAACTTTGGTACACAAAAGGGAACGCAATGTTCTAGGACTGGGCTTATGTGAGTTGTAGGAAAATGGTACAAATCTGAGAAGAGCTGGGATTGCTGTAGCATGACGTCATGACCTCTGTTTACAGCCGTAAATGATACTGGCAAAGTGACAGCGTCCTGCATGACCCTGTGTTGTATTATTTTTTCCCTGTTTTTATTATTGCTGTGCCTGTCTTTGCTTTACTGACTCTAGTTACTTTGTCCAATTTGACAGCGGTCTAACCAAACACGCATTTCTCCTACACGTCCAAGTGGAAGACCCAATTTTACTGTCAACACAGCCAGATCAAAGCAGCTAACCTGTTATCAAAACATCAAGGCCAACGCCCTAATAATGTCCTAATTTCTTATGTTAACCCAAAAGATAAAATTATTTTTAATTAACAACGGGTAATTCAGCAGAAATGTAACTTGAAGGTAAGCACTGACAGAAAATGAAATTTATTGACTCAAAAATAAAATGCATTTACTACCAGAAATTCAGCTACTAATCCCCAAAATGCTCAAAATACATGTGCTATACTGTTACCCAGAGATAACAGAAGAGTACAGTATCTTAATTCAGTAGGTTTTGTTATATTTGTTGAATTACATCATTTGATTAGAAGACATTAGCCTGGATTAAAAAGGGAAGAGCATTAATTACTTTAAATATTAATACCACTGGCTAACTGACCTATAAAGGTACAAGGACTCTTATACTGAGTTTTCACAAACTTTTGCCAAGTTTTTCATAAAGATATCAGTAAACAAGAAATACAACAAAATTCACTGAGACTCTGTATTACATCACAAACAAAACCCCGAACAGGTGATGCAGCAAAAGTCTTTAGACAAACAAACAAGAGCATGGTATAAATTTAATCCCTAAATCAAGATATTAGGCTTGCCATACATACAGCTGCAGATGGCTGGGTATACTGACTCCAAATGAAGCACTGTAGATAAAATTACTTCCACCTTAAAAACACACTGTAAGCAGACCATTTTGCTCACAAAATCTGTTGAACTTTGGGAAACGGTGAGCTTGTATCACCTACCTTTACTTTTGCCCTTCTCATTTCCCTGGCAGTAATAACCACAGAAGGTAATCTCATATTAAGTTTTATTTTGGAGTCCTGACCCCTGATTTCAAACACTGAAGGAAGATGTGTATTTATGAAACTTACATAATGTCGACTGAATTTCAAAAATCACTGTTGGGATTGTAACTTCTTCTTTCTGACATAAATGCTTCTGAGCATCACTTAAGGTCAAAATCTGCCTTTGATATTCACCAAGACTTTTTCATATGGAAATGAGACAGTAATTCCACCACTTTGCTATTATTAAAAAGGTAGCTCATTCACTATTAGGAACATTACTGAAGAAAACACATCC